TGATAATTAATATGGTTCAGAATGCTTAGGTAGGTTTAATGGCCGTTTGGCTATCCTCTTTTAAGAACTGTTGTCTATTTTCTTACTAATTTTCAGGAGTTATATCTTCAGGACAGGAATTCCTTGTTGCTTGCATATCTTGCAAATATCTTCTCTCCTTGTAGAGTGTGGCTTTCTGTTCCCCAAATACTGTGTTTTGATGAATAAAAGTTCACAATTTTAACTTAATCCAACATAGCAATATGATCCTTTATAATCATAACAGTAATCATAACAGACCCTTTATGATCTGTGCTTTTGTTCTCTTTAAGAAAATCTTTCTTTGAAGGCCATGATGATATTCCCCCGTGTTATCTTTTAGACATTTTATTGTTTTATCTTTCATGTTTAGACCTACAGTTCCTCTGGGATTAACTTTTGCATATAATTTGAGATGAATTTACGTTGATGCTATATAGTGTCTAATTGACTGAGGAACATTTGTTGATGGGATCGTCTTTCTCCAATGCATAAATATATCACCTTTATTATAAATAAAATAACTGTATATGTGAAGACCTTGTTGAGTATTCTATTGGGTAACTCCATGCTGTTTTAATAACTAGTTCTGGCTGTCTGAACTTTGTATTTTTTTTTTTTTTCCTTCTCCTTTAGGATATTCTAGGCTAGGGGCCTAACTTTTTTTCTGTAAAGGGTTAAATGTAAATAGGAGCCAGGGCAAAGATTTTAGGCTAGATGGGTCTTATTGTCTCTGTAGCTACTGTAGCATAAAAGCAGCCATCAATAGTACATAAATGGATGATGATAAGGCTATGCTTCAGTGAAACTTACAAAAACCAGCAGCAGGCCAGATTTGGCCTATGGGCCATAGTTCTCGAACTCTGTTTCTAGGATATCTTAGCACAGCTCAACGAAATTTTAGAATCTGTTTCTCAGTTTATACATACATATCCACAAACATACACACACACACTATGAGATCTGAAATTGCATTGAAACTATAGATCAACTGAAGGGAACTGAAATCTGTAAAAAAAAAAAAAAAAAAAATGTGCCTTGTAATTCATGGATATGGATGTCCCTCTACTTATTTAAATTTTCTTTAGGTTTTGTCAGTAATGGTTTATAATTTTCTGTGTAGAGGTCTTGTATGTCTATATTTGTATTTACCCTAGTTATGATATTTTTAATGCTGATGTAACTTATCATTTTTAACTTTTATTGTGGTATATAAAATATAATTTATTTTTTGGATAGTAAGTCTGAAATGACTTTGCACAATTTATTTACTAAAATTAGTTTGTGGGCCATGCGAGGTGGCTCAGGCCTGTAATCCTAGCACTTTGGGAGGCCGAGGCGGGCGGATCACGAGGTCAAGAGATCAAGACCATGGTGAAACCCAGTCTCTACTACAAAATACAAAAATTAGCTGGGCGTGGTGGCACGTGCCTGTGGTCCCAGCTACTCAGGAGGCTGAGGCAAGAGAATCGCTTGAAACCAGGAGGCGGAGGTTGCAGTGAGCTGAGATTGTGCCACTGCACTCCAGCCTGGTGCCTGGTGACAGAGCAAGACTCTGTCTCAAAAAAAAAAAAAAAAAAGTTTGTGGATTTAAATTTTTTTTTTTCATAAGCTAAAAGTTTTTCTCTTCTAATCATGATACTTATTATACTGACGGGTCTCTTGTATAGTGTTGAGTAAAAGTGGTGACGGGAGGCATTCTTGTTATTGATCCCATTGGTAAAATTTTCTTGCGTTTGCATTTATTCAGATAATTATATGATTTTGATTTTGTCAGTAAGGTGAAATACGTGCTTGATTTTCAGTGCTAAAACACATATTTCTGTAATGTTTCCCACTCAGTAATGATGTATTATCTTTTAAATGTATTGTTTGCTAGGCTTTGCTACTATTTGTTAGAATTTTGCCTCTGTTGCAAATAATACTGATCTATAAGTTTCCTTTGTTATAAACTTGTAGCTTTTGTTAAGATTAGGCAAGCCTTATTACTTATGTTTGAAAGTATTTTCTCTTTTCTCTTTGAAGGAATATGAATAAAACTTGTGTTATATTTTAGTTAAATGTTTGAAAAAATTTGCTGCTAAAACATTCTAAGTCTGGACATTTCATTATAGGAGGTTTTAATATCAGATTCAATATCTTTGTTGTATACATGCCTACTTAGAATTTTAATTTCTTCTTCTGTCAGTTTTGTGTGCCATGATTTTTCAGGAATTTGTCCATTTCACCTAAATTTTCAATTTATTGGCATAATGCTGCTTGTAGTACACACTTATAATATGTGTAATTTCTATAGGATCTCTAATGATGTCCACTTTTTACCTTCTTATATTGATAATTTGTGGTTTTTTTTTTTTTTTGGTCCTTCTTGGTAAAGATTTATTAATTATTAGTCTTTTCAAGAATCCATTTTTGCCTTTGATGGTTATCTCTAATTAAAAACCTGTCGTTGGTTACTGCAACTAATTTTTTTTTCTCGTTTTTGGGTTTAATTTGATCTTTTATTTCTTTTTTGAGACAGAGTCTCATTCTCTTGTCCAGGCTGGAATGCAGTGGCATGATCTTGGCTCACTGCAGCCTCCACCTCCTGGGTTGAAGTGATTCTCATTGCACAGCCTACCAAGTAGTTGGGACTACAGGTGTATGCTACCAGGCCTGGCTAATTTTTGTATTTTTGGTAGAGACATTGTTTTGCCATGTTAGTCAGGCTGGTCTTGAACTCCTGACCTCAGGTGATCCACCTGCCTTGGCCTTCCAAAGTGCTGGGATTATAAGCACTTTACCATTGCACCCAGTCTTACTCTTCTAAGTTCTTGAGAACAACAGCTTAACAGTTATTGTCAGTCACTTTTCTAATATATGCATTTTAGCCTAAAAATTCTCTTTTGAGAGGATTTAATTATATCCAAGTTTGTTGTGTTATGCTTCTGTAATCTTCCAGATTCAAAGTTTTTTAAAATTTGAAACGATGTCAAATTTACAGAAAAGGTGCAAATATAGTACAAAGGATTTTTTCCCTTGAAACCGTTTGAGAGTAAGTGCTGTCGTGATGCCCAATGACATCTGAATGCTTTATTTACATAAAAGATATTCTCCTTCATAACCATAATATAATAACCAGAATCAGGGAATTAAATTGTTATGTTTCTACCCATCTAATCCTTAGGATTATATAGGAGAAATATATAATGCTAATAAATAAATAATTTATATATAAATATATAATTTTATAGCATATATATATATATATATATATATATATATATAAAATGCTAACAATCTAGTTTGACCTATAGTTACACTGTCAGTATCTTGTTGATTGTGTGCTTACGGTACATTTCATTATGTTTTTTTCTGTCCTTTGCATTTCTGCAGTTTGTCAAATTGAATCTAAAGGTTGAATAGAGATTCAGTTCCTTTAACAAATCTATTGATGGTTGTATGAACTTTCATTAGAAAGCAAATGATGTCTTGTTTTCAATCTTTCGTGATATTAGTATTCTTTGATGCTTAGTGCTTAGATTATTGGAGATTTTCGTGTATTAGTTGGAATAATGTTATGCTATACCAACATTAGCAGATTATATTGCCATTCATACTTCATTTTATCTCTTTCAGCCATAATTTAGTCTTAAGTTCTATAAGTAACACTCATTCTATATGTCAATATTTCTCTAGTAATTGGGTTAACAAATCAACCTTTAGTAGATTCCTTAGAAAAGTTCATAGGAACAATATTTCCCTAGTTCTTGCATGTTGATAACAATTTGTGTCCTTTATATTTGAAGAACATAAAATCTTTTGATCACATTTTCCTTCCTTGCATATATTTAATATATTATTGCACTTTTATTCTGTCAAAAAGCATTTCTGACAAAGTTTGATGGAAAATATAATTTTAAGTCATGTACTCATTCTGCATGAATGGCTAGTGGATTATTTTTCTTGTTTTAATGATACAAAGTACTTTTACTAGACTGTATTATGGTATTAGTCATTCAAGATTGATATTCTGAATAGGTCATGTGTTCTTTGAATGTTTCAATTTTTTTGTGTTTGAAAGTTTAATCGTTTTTAATATTCCCTCTGATTTGCTTTGATTTTCTTTATTTTTTTGTGATAAGAACACTTAATGTGTGCCCTTTAAAAATTTTAAGTGTACAATACAGTATTATTAACTATTGGCATAGAACTTACTCACCTTGCATAACTAAAACTTTATACCCATTGAACAACAACTCTCCATTTTTCTCTCCCCACCAGCCAATGGCATCCACCATTCTATGCTCTTTCTATAAGTTTGACTATTTTGGTTGCCTCATGTAATTGGAATTATACAGTATTTGTCCTTCTGTGACTTGTTTATTTCAGTTAATATGTTCTCCAGGTTTATTCATGTTGCTGCATATGGCAGGATTACCTTCTTTTGTAAGGGTGAATAATATTCCATTGTATATATGCCACATTATTTTTTGTAATAAGAACACTTAACATAATATCTACCCTTTTAGTAGATTTTTAAGTATGGGATACAGTATAGTTAACCATAGGTGCCATGCTGTACAGTAGATCTCTGGGACTTACTCGTTTTTCATAACCAAAACTTAATACCCTTTGACTAATTCTTCCCAGGTTACCCTCCATTCAACTCCTGACAACCACTCTTCTATTTTTTGCTTCTATGGATTTGACTATTTTAAATTCATCATACAAGTGGTATTATGTAGTATCTGTCCTTCTGTGTCTGGTTTATTTCACTTGGCATAGTATCTTCCAGTTGCATCCACATTGTTACAAATGGCAGGATTTCCTTCCTTTTAAAGGCTGAATCATGTCCCATGGTATGTAGACTATGGTGAATAATGCTGCAATGAACGTAGGAGTGCAGATGTATCTTCAGATTATTATTTCAGTTCTTTTAGATATATACTCAAAAGTGGGATTGCTGGACCACATAATAATTATATTTTTAATTTTTTTACGGTGCCAATTTTAAATAGTTTTATTTAAGACATTGCATTTTCCACTTACAATACAGTGTTTATAAAGTGCAATGTTATTTCCTTCCCCTGTGCATATGTTCCATATTCAAGTATTGAGAATGCCCAGTAACTTACTATACAGCTGAACTTTTAAAAACTGCCACAGAATTTGTTACAAATTTAGGTCCTTCAATGTTTTACATGTATGGAACAATGCTAAATCTATACTTGGGTTGGCTTAACCAACCTCTTCAATGGTGGGCCCTGAAGAAGCACCACCAGAGGGAGGAGCTCCACCACCAGGGAATTCTCCAGGCATTCCTCCTGGCATGCCTCCTGCACTCTGGTACAGCTTGGAGATGATGGGGTTGCAGACTTTCTCCGGCTCTTTTTGCTGATGTTCAAATTCTTCCTTCTCGGCAGTCTGATTCTTATCAAGCCAGTTGATAATTTCATTATACTTGTCCAGAATCTTCTGTTTGTCCTCATCGTTAATCTTGCCTTGAAGTTTCTCATCTTCGACAGTTGCTTTCATGTTGAATGCATAGGATTCAAGTGAATTCTTAGATGACACTTTGTCCCTCTGCTTCTCATCTTCAGCTTTGTACTTCTCAGCTTCCTGGACCATATGTTCAATGTCTTCCTTGCTCAAACAGCCCTTGTCATTAGTGATAGTAATCTTGTTCTCTTTTCCTGTACTCTTGTCCACAGCAGACACATTGAGGATGCCATTGGCATCAATGTCAAAAGTGACTTCAATCTGAGGAACACCTCGGGGTGCAGGAGGTATGCCTGTGAGTTCAAACTTGCCAAGCAGGTTGTTATCCTTGGTCATGGCATGCTCACCTTCATAAACCTGAATAAGCACACCAGGCTGGTTTTCGGAATAGGTAGTGAAGGTCTGTGTCTGCTTGGTAGGAATGGTAGTATTACGCTTGATGAAGATGGTCATGATTCCACCAGCAGTTTCAATACCAAGGGAAAGAGGAGTGACATCCAAGAGCAGCAAATCTTGAACATTTTCAGACTTGTCTCCAGACAGGGTGGCAGCCTGGACAGCTGCACCATAAGCAACAGCTTCATCAGGGTTGATGCTCTTATTCAGTTCTTTTCCATTGAAAAAGTCTTGGAGAAGCTTCTGAATCTCGGGGATGCGAGTAGAACCACCAACCAGGACAATATCATGAATTTGTGACTTGTCTAGTTTGGCATCTCAAAGGGCCTTCTCTACGGGGTCCAGGGTTCCACGGAACAGATCAGCATTCAATTCTTCAAATCGGGCACAGGTAATGGAGGTATAGAAATCTATTTTTAATTTTTTAGGAACTTTCATACTGTTCTCCATAATGGCTGCACCATTTTACAATTCCACTAATAGTCACAAATGCTCTAATTTCTCCTTATCCTCAACAACAATTCTTTTGTTTTTTAATAGCCATTCTAACAGGAATGAATCAATATCTCAGTGAAGCTTCAATTTATAATTCTCCAGTGACTAGTGATGTTGAACATCTTTTCATATACTTTTGACCATTTGTGTATCTTCTTTGGAGAAATATTCATTCAAGAATTTTTTTGCCTGTTTTTTAATTGAGTGGTTTTCTGCTTCTGAGTTTCAGATTTCTTTGTATATTTTGGTTATTAATCCTTTATCAGATGGACACAAATATTTTTTCCTTCTTTATGTTGCCTTTTGACTCTGCTTTCATTTGCTCCATAAAAGCTTTTTAATTTGAGTTAATCCCACTTGTCTAATTTTGCTTTTGCTGCTTGTGCTTTTGGTGTTATAATGAAAAATTCATGGCCCAAGACAAATTTTGTGAAACTTTTACCCAATCTTTTCTTCTAGGAGTTTTACAGTTCCACATCTTACATTTATGTCTTTAATTCATTTTGATTAGTCTTTTGTGTATGGTGTAGAATTAAGTGGCCAGTTTTATTCATTTGCATATGAATATCACATTTTTTCTATGCCATCTGTTGAATAAATTACCTTTTCTCATTGACACCCTTGTTGAAGAGCAGTTAAACATCTATGTGTGAATTTATTTATGTGCTTTCTCTTCTTTTCCAAAGATCCATTTGGCTGTTGTTGTATCAGTACTGTTCTATTTTAATGACTACAGCTTTTTAGTATATTTTGAAACCAGGAAGTGTGATATCTTGAGCTCTGTTCCTCTTCAAGATTGCTTTAGCTGTTCAGGATCTTTTGTGGTTCCATATAAATTTTAAAATTGTTTCGTCTATATTTGTAAAAATGTCATTAGGATTTTGATAATTATTACATTGAATCAAAGATCAATATCACTTTGGGTAGTATGATTATTTTGATAATATTATATCTTTCAATCCATTAACATGAGAGGTTTTTCCATTTCTTTTTGCCTTACTTATTGCTTTCATCAATGATTTGTATTCAGTGTAAAGGTCTTTTACCTTCTTAGTTATGTTTATTACCGAGTATTCTTTTTGATTCTATTGGAAATTGTTTCTTAGGTTTCTTTTTGAATGGTTCATTGCTGATGTATAAAAGCATAACTGGTTTTTGTATATTGAGTTTATATCTGTAACTTATGAATATGTTTATTATTTCTAACAGTTTTTGTGGAGGCTTTGGGTTTTTTTAAGTTTAAGGTCACTTGGAAACAAAGATAATTTTACTTGCTCTGTTTTGATTTGGAAAACTTTTATTTCTTTTTCATGCCTAATTGCTCTGGCTAGAATTTTTATACTATGTTGATTGGAAATTGTGATAATTGTCATCCTTGCCTTTTTCCTGGTTTTGGGAGAAAAGCTGTCAGTTTTTCACCATTGAGTATAATGTTAGCTGTACGCTTTATGTATATGGCTTTTATTGTGTTTAGGTAAAGCCTCTGTATTTTTTTTATTAAGTATTTTCCTCATGCAAGGTTGTAGAATTTTGTTCAGTGCTTTTTCTGTGTCTGTTGAGATGGTCATGTTATTTTATCTTTTAATCTGTTTTATTGCATATTGTATTAATTGATTTGCTTTTTTGGAATCATTCTTGTATCACAGGAAAAAAATCTCATTTGCTCATAGTGTCTACTGAGGTGGGAGTTGGGACTCTACTCCAGAGGTGGGGCTTGGACACCAGACCAAATTAAGGACTAGCCAAAACAGGGCTGGTGTGGAAGCAGCTTTACATAAGATGTCTACCAGTGTGCCATGTCCGTTTACCATTGCCATGAGAACACCTGGAATTTATTTCCCCTTTCCATGGCAACAACCTGATGATCTGGATGTTTCCAACCTTTTCCTAGAAATTGCTGCATAACCTGCTCCTTAATTTGCATGTAGTTAAAAGTGAGTTAAAATATGACTGCAGAAGCACCTTTGAGCTGCTACTTCGGCACACTGCCTGTTGGGTAGCCCTGCTTGCAAAGAGCAGCAACTCTGCTGCTGCTGTACACTGACACCTCAATAAAAGTTGCTGTTTAACATCACCAACTTGCCCTTGCATTCTTTTCCGGGTGAAGCCAAGAACCCTCCTAAGCTAAGTGCCAGTTTGGAGGCTCTCCTGACCTGCATCATAACCATCTATGTTAGGTAATTGGCTATATGTCAAAGAAAAACAAACTTCCTGTCTTTAGGACAAGACTTAGTTTTGCAACTTGGAAGAATGACTGTACCAACATTAGTCTCCTACTTTCCCACAGAAACAGAGGTGCAGTTTATTTTGATGTTTACATTATATAAAGATGGGTCCTATGTTCTTGAGAAAGACATTCCTGGGTCATAAATCTGACCAGAGTTTTCAAAAGGATTTATATACATTTCAGAGAGAGAAACTACTTGTAATTACATGTTTTCCAAAGTAAATGCTCTGAATAAAAGGAGGGAGTGAAATATTTTATCTTATTATCAATAGGGAGAATTAAGCCTCTTATTTTTAATTTTTGATTTGTATTTGTCCTTACATAAGAAATAATACAGAGAAATCCTATGTCCTGTTTACTCGCTTTCCATGAATGGTAATATCTTAAAAACTCTAGTACATTATTACAACCAGAATATCTACATTGATAATGTAAAGAAATAACTATTAAAATAGAGAAACAGCTCCATCTTTCTGGAAGTGAAAGTCCCATCCTTAAGCCAATCAATGAACAATGACTGCAATCTATGGTTTATTTATAGTCAATATATTTATGTATTGCTGAATATATTACAAAATAAAATATGAATTATTTGAGTTGTATCTGTGACTTTAATTAGGCATATCTTTCTTGTGGAAGGGCTTCATTGGCATGAATAATACTGATATATTTTGTTGACATTTATATGTGTTAAATCAGTGTTTGACAGGGTTTTGCTATATGAATCAGTAACATTTGAAGGAAAAATTTGAAGGTTGCTAATACAGGTTTGCTAGCCCGTTATTTCAAAAATTAAGAAAATAAGATTAAGGTAAACATCCACTCTCATAATTTATTTCCAAATAAAGGTCATTTATTTTTTACCATAATATAAAACCCTGATACTCATAGTATAGTCCAGTTAGAAACCTTATGCAGTCACAATTTCCCTTAAATGTGATGCATTTAAAGTTTTAAATAAAGATAAATCACAACATAAGATTTTGTGATAGTACATGCATATTGAAAAACTACAGCATAAAATTTTATTCTCTGTAGTACATGCATATTGAAAAACTACAGCATAAAATTTTATTCTCTGTTAATCATTGATATAGTAGCTGTCTTCTCCCAAGTTTGAAATGTGATGATCAGTTTCTTTCAGCGGAACATGAAGTACAGAACAATGTCCAACTTATTTGTATTTTTTTTTTATGGGCATTATGAAAACTTCAATATTAAGTAAGCATTTAAAAAAATTTTAAAACATTACTGTCAAATTTATTTTATCAATTCAGAATATTATAGGAAAACTAAGAAAAATCTAAGATTCTGTCATTAGTTGGTGACACCAGGTGTATAGCTAGTGAGGATTATAGACAAGGATGATCCTTTTAATGTGCTGTTGGATTTGGTCTATTTGTATTTTGTTGAGGATTTTTACATCTGTATTCACCAAGGATATTGGCCTATAATTTTCTTTTCTAGTTGTGCCCTGGTCTGGCTTTGGTATGATGATAATGCCAGCTTCATAAAATGAGTCCAAAGGTGTTTCTTTTTCTTAATATTTTGGGAAGAGTTTAAGAAAGATAGATATTGATTTTTGTTTAAATGTTTGGTAGCATGCATCAGAGAAGCCATCAAGTCCTAGGCTTTTCATTTTGAATACTGCTTTTGAGGTTGTTGATTACTGCTTCAATCTCTTATTCATTATTGGTCTGTTCAAGTTTCCTGTCTTTTCATGATTCAGTCTTAGGTTATATGCTTCTAGGAATTTATTCATTTCTTCTAGGTTTTTCAATTTGTTGGCTAAAGTTGTTTATAATAGTTCCTTACGATCTTTTTTATTCCTGTAGCATCACTTATAATGTCTTCTCTTTTATTATTTTTTTGTGATTTCTCTTTTTTTAAAATCAGTTTAGGTAAGGGCTTGTCAGTTGTTTTGTTTGTTCTTTGGTCCCTTTTACCTCTTTCCTTTTCAGTTGTTTCATTGAAGTTTGGAGTTTTTGTTTTAACTTTTAATTGACAAATAATAATTGTATATTACATATTTATAGGATGCAATGTGATATTTTGATATGTTTACGTAATGGAATAATTAAATCAAGTTGTTTAAGAAATCCAGCAACTCACCTACATATTATTCTTTTTGTGGTGAAAACATTTAAAATCTTCTCAGCAATTTTGAAATATACAGTACACCATTATTATAGTCACCTTTTTCTATGGAAGATCATTAAAACTTATTCCTCCTGGGGAGAGAGATCCAAGATGGCTGATCACTAGCAGCTTGGGATTGTAGCTCCCAGTGAAAGTGCAGAGAACGAGAGGATGCCACACTTTCAGATGAATTTGAAAGCACCAGGAGATTCCCAGCGGAGGAGCCCCACGGGTCACCAGCGTGACTCTTATGGCCAGCAAGGCTGTTTTGCCGCTGCCTTGGTGTGGCGGTTCTTGGTGCAGAGTCAGAAAAGCACCATCAATCATAACGCCGCTGTTTTGGCCGGCGCAGTGGGTTGCTCAGGTTTTAGCACTGGGAATCAACAAGTTGGACGTCCACTCAGAAACCCAATTATAAAGACGGTAATTATAAAGACCACAGATGGATAAATCTATAACGAAGGGAACAAACCAGCCTAAAAAGGCTGAGAATACCCAAAATCAGAACGCCTCTTCCTCTATAGGGGATCACAGTTCCTCATCAGCAACGGAACAAGACCTGATGGAGAACGAGTGTGTTCCATTAACAGAAGCAGGCTTTAAAAGGTGGATGATAAGAAACTTCTGGGAATTAAAAGAACTTGTTCTAACCCAATGCAAAGAAACTGAGAACTTTGAAAAAATGTTTGACAAAATGTCAAGAATATACAATTTAGAGAGGAATATAAGTGAATTAATGGAGCTGAAAAACACAACACGAGAACTTCGCGAAGTATGCACAAGTTTTAACAGCCGAATCGATCAAGCAGAAGAAAAGATATCAGAGGTCGAAGACCAACTTAATGAAATAAAACGAGAAGACAAGATTAGAGGAAAAAGGATAAAAAGGAACGAGCAAAGTCTTCAAGAAATATGGGACTATGTGAAAAGACCTAATCTATGTTTGATAGGTGTACCTGAATGTGACGAAGAGAATCAATCCAAGCTGGAAAATGCGCTTCAGGATATTATCCAGGAAAACTTTCCCAACCTAGCAAGGTGGGACAATATTCAACTCCAGGTAATACAGAGAACACCACAAAGATATTCCTCAAGAAGACCAACCTCAAGGCACATAATCGCCAGATTCACCAGGGTTGAAATGAAAGAGAAAATACTGAGGGCAGCCAGAGAGAAAGGTCAGGTTACCCATAAAGGGAAGCCTATCAGACTCACAGCAGATCTCTCAGCAGAAACCCTACAAGCCAGAAGAGAGTGGGGGCCAATATTCAACATCCTTAAAGAAAAGAACTTGCAACCCAGAATTTTACATCCAGCCAAACTAAGTTTCGTAAGTGAAGGAAAAATAAAATCTTTTGTGAACAAGCAAGCACTGAGAGATTTCATCACCACCAGGCCTGCTTTACAAGAGCTTCTGAAAGAACCACTACACATAGAAAGGAACAACCAGTATCATCCTTTCTAAAAAATACCAAAAATAAAGAGCATCAACATAATTAAGAACTTACATCAACTAATGGGCAAAACAGCCAGCTAACATTAAATGGCAGTATTAAACTCACATATATTATTATTAACTCTAAATTTAAATCGACTAAATCCCCCAATCCAAAGACACAGACAGGCAAAAAAAAGCCAAGACCCATTGGTATGCTACATCCAGACCCATCTCACATGCAAGGATACACAAAGACTCAAAGGGATGGAGAAAGATTTACCAACCAAATGGAGAGCAAAAATAAATAAATAAATAGAAAGCAGGAGCTGCAGTTTTTGCTGATAAAATAGACTTTAAAGCAACAAAGATCGAAAGAGCAAAGAAGGATATTACATAATGATAAAAGGATCAATGTAACAAGAAGAGCTAAAGATCCTAAATATATACTCACTCAATACAGGAATACCCAGATATATAAGACTTATAAAGAGACTTAGATTTCCACACAATAATAGTGGGAGACTTCAACATCAGTATTAGACAGATCAATGAGACAGAAAGTTAACAACAATATCCAGGACTTGAACTTAGATCTGGAACAAGTAGACTTAATTAACATTTTTAGAACTCTCCACTTTAAATACAGAAAATATACACTCTTATCAGTACTACATCACACATATTTACAGGTTTAAATGAAATATTGGTTGGCTGCTTGTTATTTTCTTCCCTCATTTTTTTTTCATATCTCTATTATTAAACACAATTATAGACATACCCATTTTTTTACTGCATTCTAGCCTGGGCAATAAAGCAACACCCCTCTCTCCCTCTTCCTCTTCCTCTTTCTTCCTCTCCTTCATTTTTAAAAATTCTTTCTTTTTCTTTCTTTCTCTCTTTCTTCTTCTTAAAAAAAAAAAAAACTTATTCCTCCTGTGTAACTGAGATTTTGTACACTTAGATCAACGTCTCCCCTTTCCACATTCTGTATTGTAAATGCATGGATTTATTTCTGGACTCTCCCGCTTCATTGGTCATTATATGTTGTTATGCCAATAACATGCTATGTTGGTAACTATAGCATTTTAATTGATTTTTAAGTCAAGTGGTGTGATGCCTTCAGCTTTGTTCTTTTTGTCTCAATGTTACTTTGGCTATATGGGGTATTTTGTGGTTCTGTATGAAATTTAGGATTGTATTTTCTATTTCTGTGAAAAATGACTTGGAATTGTGATAGAGATTGCATCACTTAGGTAATATGGCTATTTTAAGTATATTGAATTTTCAATCCATGAACGTAGAATAGTTTACCATTTATTCGTGTCATAATTATTTCTTTCATTAGTGTTTTGTTGGATTTTTCACCTTTTTGGTTAAATTTACTCCTAAGTATTTTGTTTGTGTGTGTTTTTTCATGTTATTGTGAATGGGATATTCTTAATTTCTTTTTCAGATAATTTGTTGTTAATGTAAAGAAGCACTGTTGATTTTTGTGTGTTGATTTTGTATCCTATAACTTTACTGACTTTATCAGTTGAAACAGTTTATTGGTGGAGTCTGTAGAACTTTCTCTGCATAAGATTGCATCATTAGCAAATAGAAACAGTTTCACTTCTTCCATTCCAATTTGCATGCCTTTTATTTCTTTTTCTTGTCTAATTGCTCTAGCTAGAGTTTGCAGTCCTATGCTGAGTAGAAATGTGAGACTGCGCATCCTTGTCTTGTTCCTAAATTAGAGGAAAAGCTTTCAGTATGATGTTAACTGTGGGCTTTCCATATATGTCTTTTATTGTATATTCCTTTAAAACTTGTTTTGAATTTTTATCTGGAACATTCTCTAATTTTGTTAAAAGCCTTTTTGGCATCCATTGAGGTGATCATATGGTTTTTATATTTAGTTGTGTTAATGTAGTGTATCATCTTTATGGAGTTGTGTATGTTGAACCATCCTTGCAACCCAGGAATAAATCCCATTTATCATGATAAATGATCCTTTTAATGTGCTGTTGAATTCATGCTGATAGTATATTGTTAAAGATTTTTGCACCTGTGATCATCAGAGATAGCTGCCTGTAGTTTTCTTTTCTTAAAATGTTTTTGTCTGGCTTTGGTATCAGGGTATATGAGTCAGGATTCTCTAGGGGAACAGAACTGATAGGATAGATGTATGTATAAAGGGGAGTTTATTAAGGAGTATTGACTTACACAGTCACCAGGTGAAGTCCCACAAATGGCCATCTGCAAGCTGAGGGGCAAGGAGGCCAATCCAAGTCCCAAAACTTCAAAAGTAGGGAAACCAACAGTGCTGAGAGCCCCTGGCATACCACTGGTATAAGTACAAGAGTCCAAAAACTGAAGAACTTGGAGTCTGGTGTTTGAGAGGAGGAATCTTCCAGCATGAGAAAAAGATGAAGGCCAGAAGACCCAGCAAGTCTGCTTTTCCATCTTCTCCTGTCTGCTTTATTCTAGCAGTGCTGGCAGCTGATTAAATGGTGTTCACCCAGATTGAGGGTGAGCCTGCTTCTCCCAGTTCACTGACTCAAATGTTATCTTCCTTTGGCAAGACCCTCACAGACATACCCAGAAATAATACTTTGGATCTTTCAATCCAACCAAGTTGACACTCAGTATTAACCCATCATACAGGGTAATGCTGGACTTGTAAAGAGTTTGGAAGCATTCCCTTTTCTTCAATTTTTGGAAGAGTTTGACAATAATTTATATTACATACTGATTCTCCCTAATCTGAAAGCTCAAAATCCAAAATGCTCCAAAATTGGAAACTTTCTGAGTGTTTGCATAATGCCGCAAGTGGAGAATTTTACATGTGACCTCCTCTGATGGGTCACAGTAAAATGCGATCAAAACTTTGTTTCGTGAACAAAATTATTAAAGATATTGTATAAGATTGCCTTCAGCATATGTGTATGAGACATCCACTGACGCATAAATAAGACACATACTAAAGCATAAAACAAAGGCAACTCATGTTTAAACTTGGGTCCCATTCCCAAGATATCTTAATAGGTATATGCAATATTCCAAAATTTGAAAAATTCTGAAATCTGAAATACTTCTTGTTCCAAGCATTTCAGATACGGGATAATCAACCTGTATTTATTCGTTAAATATTTGGGAGAATTCTATGTGAGCCTTGTTTTCCCTTTGATGGGATTTATTATTATTATTGACTTAAACTTTTTACTCATTATTTGCTTGTTTAGGTTTTCTATCTTTTTTTTTAATTCAGTCTTTGTGGGTTGTATGTTTCTGTGAATATATTCATTTTACCTAGGTTATCAAATTTGTAGGTACCTAATTGTTTATAGTCTTTTATGATTGTTTGTATTTCTGTGGTATCAGTTATAATGTCTCCTCTTTCATTTCTGAATTTACATATTTGTCTTCTCTTTTTTTTTTCTGACTAAAGCATTGTCAAGTTTGTTTACCTTTTCAAAAAATCAGTTCTTAGTTTTATTGATCTTTTCATTGTCTTTCTCGTCTCTATTTTGTTTATTCTTCTCTGATCTTTATTTTTTCTTTTTTCTACAGACTTTCGTCTTAGTTTTTTCTTTTTCTTTCAGTTATTTGAGGTATAATGTTAAGTTTATTTGAGATCTTGGTCTGCTACATGCTACTGTGATCTACTACATAGAGCTGGAAGCAGAAGTTCTCATTTCTGATGATAATTGCTGCATATGGTGTATGACAAATTAGAGGTAATTACCATTCAATTTGGTATAACAAATTGAATGATTTTTGTATTTTTCTAGAGTGGGTTTACTTTTACTTCCGAAGATTTAGAAAGGCTAGTAAAAGGTCACCTTAATTCCTTAAACATTTGAATGACTCTATTCTGGTTTTCATTGCTCCTAAGAGTTGTTCTTCT